TTAATTTCTATCGTCTTCTAGTTCCTACCCTTATCAGATGTAGGCATATATGAAGAAAAATATTTAATATTTATTAAAACTATTGTATTCATGCGTCTTATAAAAGGAACAAAACATTTTTTCGATAAAGGATTGTATAAATTATAATGAGGATCGAAGGGTGTACATAGGAGTGTGTGTATTGAGTGGATAATAGATTTTTGTTTTTTTTTCCAATATATGTTCATTAATATTCATTTAATTTAATCATATATTCAGGCAAAAAAAAAACCCCAAAAAATAGGGAGACAAAATTAATACTCATTTAATCACAAGTTCACAAAAAATAAATTTTTAAAATAAATTGTTTAAAGCTTTACGAGTGAGCAGCACCATACACCATTTTCTTAGTGGTATAACAAAAGAATATAATTGTTAAAAATATTAATCATGGTTAGTAGTATAGATTTTATTGTTATACTGAAACTTATTATTGATTTATTATAAGATTTTTTTAGTAATTATATTTATTTTTTCAGAATTTAGATTGAACTATACAATCTAAAAGCTGTTTTTTTTAGATGAGAATCGGAGTTTTTAAAAACTATTTTTCAATTGTGATTTGTGATATACAAAGTAAGTATGTGAAATGAGTTTTATCATGACTTACTCTTAAAGCTTGATGAAAAAAAGTTACTCTTGATGATTTGTAATCATGTCTAATTGATATTTATAATTTATTTTTTTAGAAGAATTTTCCACCAAGTGTTCTTAAATTCATCTTTTAGGATTTAAGTGCTACTTATCCTTTTTTTATATATATATATTTAACAGTTGGATTATCAATTAAAATATGATAAACATATATTTTTAATAATAATATTCACTTGCCATTATTTTTAATTAGATCACTTGATACTTACAATAAAATAAGGAGAAAATGATAATTTAACAACAGTTATAATCTCAATAAAAATTTTTTGAAAAATGAATCACAAATATTGATCAAAGACTGACGCAAATTCTGAAGTTTGAATGTTTTAAATATAATTCTCAATTTGCAGTCTAGATTCTTATTTGCAAGTCCATATGTCAATATTTACAAATTATTTTCAGAAAATTTTAATAGGAACTAACCATCATTAATTTAATATTTTGAGACCTGAGTGTAATTGTCTCACTATCAAAATGCATGTAATTTTCAAATCGCAATAAGGTGATGATGCATTGTTTTGACCCCTTGTCTCGCCCGATTCAGACAGATTCCATTTCAGAGTGTGACCGCTCTCTAATATTTGATTTATATATCACTAATATTAATATCAATATTTCCATACAAATTATAGAAACCGTAAGTGTCATGAGTCATGGAAAATAATAAAACAAACATTTCAGTAAAATACAACCTGGCATTTCGAGCAGTGTCTGGTTTGGTAGGATTATGACTAGTACTCCCCCGGTCCTTAATATAGAACCTAATTATTGAGTTGATTTTAATCATAAATATAAGACATATTTCTCATGTTTATCAATTTTTCATAAATTACCCTTATGAATCTCCTTTAACTATAATCAAGTAGAAAAGGAAGAAAGGATATTAAGGAAGATAATTATGGTGTTTTAGGAACAACATGTCATATTTCTTATAATTAACTAACTTACCTAATTTTCTTAATTTAATCAAATTAGTTAAATAGATCTTATATTAAGGATCAGAAGAGTATGAAACAGGACTCAAACTTTGGCTGGTCTTTGAAATGTTAATCTTATTTTGAGCCTCCTAATTCAAATTTCACATTATTTGCTTTATACGTTGTTGGATTTTTTTGAGAAAAAAGACAAATAACATAAGTTCCTAAGAAATTATAAAAATTGACACTAGAATAACCCTAAAATTAACAATAGAAAAATTAAAAAGCAAAATTAAGATTTCTTATCAAGTGACACTAATAGCTTAAGAAACTTGTGAAGGAGTTTTGAAAAAAAAAAAAAATCCTTGCACAATAAATTGTTAATAGTGCCTTTAAATCTAATTGCAAGAGTTTCACGGTATGGATATATATATATATATAAACAGTACAAAAGTAATGAAAAGAAAAGTTGTTCTTGGAATTGTTTTATTTTCCCGCAAGAATTCCTTCATAGGAGATCTACCATGACAAACAATTTTATGACAAAACTGTTTTTCCGATCTCTTATATTTGTGTAAGAGAGAATTTTATCCATCGTTATATATATATATATATATGGACCTGATATCCATCGTTATATAAAGTTTGGCTAAAATCAATAATGGATTTTGGCCTATTCATCTTTATTGTGGAAAAAGCCGAGACATGGTAATTAACAATTTGTTTTACTTTCATAATTATTATTAAATGTTGTCTCTTTCCTTTTCCTCCTAATAGTGTGCAAATTGATCTGTCGTTATATTTTTGTGATTTTAGACTTTGACATCTTAATTTGGTCCCGACTTTAGAATCATATGGTAATTTGATACACGCACGTCATTTTATTGTCCTGTTAAATAAATTGATATATTATACTATTTTCTATTCTAATTATAAGACTTTATTGAAACTGGAACTGGTATATATGAAGCAACGAGGCATAAAACGACATGGTTTGAAAATAGAGAGTGAGGGAATTTTTAATTGCAAAAAACTGAGGCGGTGCAGTTTTTTGCGGATGAGGCTCACCATCGTGGATCGTCAACGACAGCTGTGCTGCCTGATTAAAAAACAGCTCTTCGAATGTAATTTTTTTAATATATGAAGTTTGAACCCTTTGTTTAAAAATAATAGAGTCTTTCTTGCCCAATCCAGCCATCTTTGACAACTGCCCAGTTAGTTAATATTGCACTATCATTCAATAAGTACTTAAATTTTTTTCATATAAAATTTTCATTTTTATTGTCCGTAATTGCACTATCCATTTTTCATATTTTTCTTATGAAAATTACAATAGATGCATTTATTGCCCAGAATTGCACTATCCAATATGTATTGATTCATTGATGAAATGGTTCACACATATGTATTTTTTTAATTTTTATATGTAGTAATAACTTAATAAGGAATTATTAAGAGTTAATTTTTTTGGGAATAAAGTCATGATAAAAGTTAATATCCTCATAATTACATTGTTTGAATGCCTGTGCTGTTATGAGTAATTATATATCTAAATTAATTTTCCTTATCTCTATATAAGATCGTTGGAGCTTAATATTAATATAGCAATTTGGGACATTAACTAGATATTGTTTTCATTTTTGAAACTCAAGAAAATTATTTGTATTTGAAATATCTATTCCAACAAAAAAAATCAACATTAACATCATCAATGAATTAACACATAATATAAAATTTATAATTATTCAAAAAATTATAACAAAGTACCAACTTATTTTTGGACTCTTCACAAGTCATGATATCATTAAAAAAAAATGTTTAGTTTATTGCTATTCCACATTATCTCTGAGGAAAATATCATTAAAAAATAAGACTAAAATATAATGGCCTTCATTTTATTTTTGTGAAATTAAATTTCACATTACTACATTAGAATAAAAGCCAACTTGTCAATATAGAACTTTGCTAGAAACACACTTAACCATCTCTTCTAATTAGAAATCTAAATTCTATATTTTAAACACGTTTCTTACAAGAGAAAAACAAAAAGCCGCTCTTTAAAGAGAAGGGATGGGGACCCCCGGAAAAAGTGAATTTAGGTTTTACACCAAAAAAAAAAAAAAAGTGGTGAGGAAGGACATTTTTGTCTTTGTGGTTGCTATTATTATGGGCTAAAGAAGTCAGAAAAAGGGGGAGGGAAAACGGGGTCCACGTGAGGAGCGCGTGACCGGAATCGGCAGGATTAAAAAGGGGAAAAAGAAAGAAAGTAAAGAGCAATAATTTTTATTTTATTCATTACACTCTAAAAGGGATTAAATAGAAATATAAAAATACATCGCTAAATAAATAAACAATTGATTTCAAATGATACATTTAACTTTAAATAAATTGTCCTTTTATAAAAAAAAAAAGTGATTTTCAAATGAGATTGAATTGTCATATTTAAAAATGTATATGAAAATAATAACTATAAGCATAAATTAAATTTTATGCACCATATATATAAAGATGGGGGTCCTTTTATGGTTGATGGAGATTTTTTAATCTATCAGAAAGCTCACACAGAACATCTACAAAAAATATTTAATACCATTATTGCATAAGGCCATTAGCGATGGGCCATACACATTTTCTATAATTTTCTCGTTGAGCTAATCTTGTCTTGCTTAACTTATTATAATTGTTTTGTGCTAAAAAAACTTATCATGATTATTGTTGGATGATATATTTCCTCGGATTATCAATATACAGGAGCTACTTGAAGTGTCAAGAATATGATAATAACATCATTTTATATTTGTTATAATTAACTAATATTTTTTTTACTTATTTTATCTATTCAAATTAATTAAGTATTTTTATATTAAGGTTTTAATATTCAATATAAGAGCTAGTTGGAATTTAATTTGATTCACTTTATTTCTAATATTTATTTATTTTGTATTTAAGTAATCCATGTAATGATTGCATGTGTTAAGGAGAGAGTTAGTATTAATGTGTATGATTAATAAAGGTATTTTAAAAAAACCATATCAATTTATTATAAATAAATAATTTAAATATTTTTTTAATATCAACAAATTATGAAGGGTAATATTGTCCATGAAATTATATAAAAGTTATAAAAGAAAAATACTACTAGTATTTCTTTTGGACTTATACGCAGCATATATTTCAAGACACGGAAAGAGAGAGAGGGAGAGAGAGGAACGTATCATGTAAAGGCCACGTGGGTGACATTGGAACCAAAACATCCAAAGGCAAAGGCGAGGAGAGGAGAATGACCCAGAACAAGCAAACAAAGCCAAACGTGCGAACACTCACACTCACCCATCTATAACACGCGGCGAAGCGAGCCCCCTCACACCGTCGCCCCGCCCGGCCTCGCCTCCTAACGTCACACAACGCCCACCCATCCCCGCTTCCCTCTCCCTCTCCCCCCAAACTCCGTTTCATTCACTCCTGCATTTACTCCATCAACTGACTCTCTCCTCTCTCTCTCCCTTCTCCTGAAACATAAACTACAAAGCGTTTCGTTTTCCCTCTCTTTCTTTCCCTCTTCTCTTCTCCCCCGCTTCCCTTCCCTTCCCTTTCTTCACTCTTCTTCAAGCTCAGCACGATCTTCTTTTGGAAAACAACGCTGTAATGAGCGGCAATCTCTCTCCAAAAGGAAAGTGAGGGGGTTTTTCCTATTTCTTTTTTAAATTTCTTTTCATTCTGTTTTGGATTGGAGTATCCTCTTTCGGAAACTACTGCTGAAGGGGAAACTTCATCAATTTGCCGAATTGAGTCCTCATTTCACATTTCCGTAATCAATGCCTGTGAGCATCGCCTATCCTCATATATCTCTCGCAAAGACTCCTTCGAAAGTTCCGATATTCAAGTTCAAGCGATCGGCTCCGTGACTGCTAGAAATTTCTGCTATTTTCTCAGATCGATTATGTCGTCTCCTTTCTCGTCGCCTGACTCTGTTTGCTGTTCTGGTAGTTCTCTCTCCAATCTGGAACGCTTTCTTCGTTGTGTCACTCCCACGGTTGCTTCCAGAATTCTTCCTCAGGTATTTTCCCTCTCCTTTCACCCTCCGATTTCTTTATTTTCAGGTAATTTTTTCTTTCTCCTTCTTCCCTCTCGTTCTTCGTCAAACTGCTCGTTTTTTTTTTTTTTTTTGGGGGCAAACACGTCCGGGAGAGAAAAGAGTGAAATTTTTTGAAAAAGAAAATACTTTTTTTTGGGGGGGGGGGGTTTTATCGCGATGGAGAGTAAATGAGGATAGAAAACTAGAGAGTAGAATCTTGTTTTAATTACAGCTTCGGAATTGGGGAGATATGATTGTAATTGTAATTTATAAGAATGAGAGATTACTATTTTATTTAATAATTAATAATATAGTTTTAATAATAATTTTCTTATATTATTGAGTGCAGAAATGTTTTTCAGATTTTGTGGGGATAAGATCTTCTCTCTAAGAGACTTTATTGTTTCGTGTTTTTAGATTTTGGAATAAAATTGATGACAAAATAGATGCTATTTTACGGCTCTCATATTTATTGATTGATCCGTATAATCTTTTGGATATTTGACAGATTGTTGTTTTACTTAATTTAACATCAGCACTAATGACACTAGTAATAAGGAATCATGTTTTTCACGATTATGTTTAATATTTAATTTAATATAGAATCAGTTACTGTCAGGCCAAAGAAAATCATTTATTAAGATTCTTAAGTTAATTTTGGATTGGGATAGTCATTCTTTTCGGCGAAAATTTATGCTTCAAAATTTAAATTGCATAAATTTAAAATAAAAAGTTAAGTACTACTTTCAATTCTAATTATAAGAGTTAGTTGATTAATTTAAGGGGATTAAAAAAATAAGTTAAATTAGTTATTTGTAATAAATATGTGGTGTTTTTCTTAAAATATCCTTACTAATCAAGTGTATTGACTAGAACTACTATTGTTAGAAAGACTATCTTAAAAAAAAAAAAGTATAAGAGACAAAATGGATTAGTTCTTTATATTTAGAACCAAAATAAAAATTGAACAAGATCTTATATTAAGGATCGGAATAGTATTTTTAAAAATAAAAATAAAAATAAATTTCAATTTATAATTTGTTTGTAGTATATAAATATAAGTATCTTTCCCTAATAATATAATCAATGGACACACGTGGTAGGTGGATGCATATGTTTGCACTTATCCTTTGGCTTGGGCTGTTTCTTAGACTTTACTGACATCGGAGGAAATATCCAATAATCCGCACACATGGGATAATGTGTAGTGGACCTGCGTGAAACGAAGTCGTATTACGGGCCCTAATTTAGTACTCCCTCCGTTCTTTATTATAAGAGACATTTGGTGTTTATGACATGTTCCTATATATAAGAGACACTTAAAAGTTGTCTCTACTTTTTTGTGTTGATTTCCTATTTTACCCATATTTATTGTCTCCAATTCACACACTCTCTCCCTCTCACTTCTCTTTCTTTCAATAATTTAATTGTTCTCTCATACTCTCTCTCCTTATTAATGAGGGTATTTTTAGAAAAAAATTATATTTTTTACACATTGATTGTTCTTAACTGCTTTTAACTGCTTTTTTGATTAACGTAATTCAGTTATTCGTCTCTTATAATAAAGAACGGAGGGAGTAATTTGTGAACCTTTACCTTTGTACAATTTATAAACTTTGTCCTTTTCTGGCCCCTCTCTGGCCCTCTAGATCGGGAATATTCCTGTAGATGCCGTTGATTTGTCTTCCGTTGGCCTACATATATGGTAAAAAGATCTCACGCGGATAAGCTCAAAATAAAGAAATAATTAATGTGATATTATTCTTAAATTACGCGCTTGTTCTGTAAAACAATTTTAAAGATCATCTGGTCATTCTCAATCACATGGTTTCTTAAAGTGAAAGCTGAAGGGATTAAAAAATGGAAAACAACACATTGTGTTTTCCAGATTTGAGAACAGTCTGGAGGGTTTTTGTTAAAGCATAGAAAGTTTTTACTTAGTCAAAAGTGATTCTCTGTGGACGTTTTATGACATTTCGATTTGATTTCATAACAATCATTTTGATTCTTTAGCATTGTGGGTCAGGGCAATCGCCTAATCTGAAGATAACTTCATAATAGCTTTGAAGAGATAAGTGCCACGTGTTTCTTCGGCTCCTTCTTTCTCATTTATGATGTGGAAAGAGGAATTGGTTAGCCTGTCTGTGTGCACAATCTGTTTACTAGTTATGATTATGAGTGTTTTGTGCAAAAGTTTGGTATATAAAGAGGAAAATTACGCTTGAAAAAGAGACTTTGAATGTCAAAACTAGTCTGAAATTCTCATTATCTCCCCTTAATTTTGTAGAAATTCCGTAACTTTTTTCTATTTTAAGAATCAATGTAAGCCTCCATTGAGTCATGTTGAAGACCCTCCTAAAACAGAGTTGAGTTTTACATGCCTTTCTTTTATTTCTAAAATATAGACAGACATTTGTTACTCCCTGATAATAAAGGAGTTCTGTATCATTTATTCTCGTTTCGTCGAAAGTTTTGAAAATAAATGAGATGTCTAAGTAATTTTCAATGAAACTCAGTGAAAGTCTTTGTATTTTTTTTTTTTTGTCTTTAGAATCATATTGAGATTATCATTATCATCAATAATCATTATATATATTGTAACTTAGAGAAAACAGTACTATTTACTGAACAGTGTTACATTGTGGCTTCCTCTGTTGGGTTCTGTGCAATGCACGGGGCTTTATTGTAAACATTTTTACATGGGATTTCTAACTGTAAATCATATCATATATGCATTTGAAAAAAAAAAAAAAAAAAGTCTGTAAGAGTTGTCAACTGTCCTGTTCACAAGTTGTAAACATTTCAATACATTTCTGGGGGTCATTCTAGTTTTAGCTATTATTCTATATAAAAGATGCTTAGCCGAATTGATTATCATAAAATGTGTTTGTGTGTACGTGTGTGTGAAATGCAAGTTCTACAAAGAAAAGGGGCGATATGCAGTTTGTTTCATTATGATTAACCTGGTCCTTTTACTTTATATGGATTGGTTCTATCTTGCTAAACTTACTTTCTTTTCAAAGATATATTAATTATCTGAAAAAGGTTGGGAAATTTCTCCGTTGCTCGTTCTAAGTTTCACAGTTCAATGGGACTATTTTGTCTGTGTACATCTAGAAAGTGAGCAAATGGTTTTACAACTTGTGCTTAATCGTGCTTACAGCTGTTCATGACCTAATTAGCATCTGCTTCTAACTTTGACTCATCTCTTAGCATTGACTCTTGCAATTTACGGAACCCATAGAGTTACAGACACGCACGCCTGTAAAATGAAGCTCTCTCCTGAATTGAAGCACACAGAATCAGTCGTAATTCTAAACAAGTGATTTCTTGGACGGCTATTATTGTGACATCGGTTCTGTAGTGATAAACTTGTTTTGTCTCTAGCCACGTATAAAGCATGTGTTATCCAGCGAGACTATTTTTCTCATTTTTGCTATTTTTAGCTTTGATATGACATAAATAGATCGCAGTAGGTGGCTGATGACTGGCTGATTTGTTTCCTCAATTTGTTTTTTGTTTACCATATGTATTGCAGAGTTGGTTAAATGACATAAATACCCTGTGGCAACCTCTTGGCAAGGACACAACTGAATACTTCTCACTGAAAGATCTCTGGGAGTGGTTTAATGAATGGAGTGCGTATGGTGCTGGCATCCCTGTTGTCCTGGAAAATGGCGAAACTGTGATGCAATACTATGTCCCGTATCTTTCGGCCATCCAAATCTACAGTGACAAATCTGTTGCACCTTCTAGGTGTGTCAAAAATTTCTTGAGAGATTATATGGAAGCTATTCGTGCACCTCTATTTACTGGTTTAAAGTTGAGTTGAAATGTGCGTGACAAAAATATAATTCATGACAAAAAGAGTAAATGTATGTTTATCCTAACTGTGGCAATAATGTGAAGTAAGCTTTCTTCTGTTTTTCTAGGATCCGGAGAGAGGAGAATGAGATTGTGGAATTTGAAAGTGATTCATGGAGTGATGATAGTGGTAGTGATAACATTTCTCGGTCGTTAAGTAACAACTCTAGCAAATCATGGGATGCCATTTCTGAGGATTCCAGTTGTGATCATGAGGGTTCATGGCCAAGAGATAGGCTTGGTTACCTTTACTTACAGTATGCTGAGATGTCTCCTCCTTACTGGAGGGTCCCGCTTATGGACAAGGTAGTCTTTTTCACTTTGTATTATTAGCCCCTTTTTAGTGGGAGACAGAAGAATTTATTTGCATCATAGATTCACCAAACACATTACTGATGATCTCTCGTTTCAGATAACTGAATTGGCAAGAAATTATCCAGCATTAATGACATTGAAGAATGTGGATCTTTCTCCTGCTAGTTGGATGGCAATTGCTTGGTGAGAATGACTTATTGTTCTTGTCACCTTTTAACATCCACGATGAACAATTTTTTATTGTAATACTGATGATTAAACGATTTTGTTTTACTAATGGATAGCTAGCGCTTAGAATAAAACTCGCTTCTGTTTCATTGACATTATAATTACCATTCGTCAGATTATTGCATTCTGACATCTCAACATAGCTAATATAGTTGATATTAAGTGGCTGCTTTGAACTATCTCTCTAATGTCATTGTCTTAAATTTAACTAAGATTAAATTGATTTGCATTGTGATTTCTAAATTCTAAGACAAGATATACCACATTATTAGTTTCTATATGATTTAGAATTCGAGTTAGGGAGAAGAATCTTCTCTCTCTCAACTTCTACTTTCTCTTTGGTTTCTCTATAATATATAAATTAGATTATTCTTATTGGACTTGTAGTTTTTTTTTATTACTTTCTGAACTTGTTATATTGATTTGTTATCATTTTAAGGTACCCTATTTATTCCATACCAAGTCAGAAAAACGAAAAGGATTTGGCAGCATGCTTCCTCACTTTCCATACATTGTCATCATCTTTCGAAGGTATCTAATCTGAATGCAGTTATTTGTCTTTTCATAATCGTTGCTGCTGGACTATTATACTTGGGCATGGTCTGTGGACTCGAGTTCTGAGCATAGTTTCTTGTGGATCTGCAGATTGTGCAATGGAATATGATAACATCAACAATGGGAAAGACCTATGCTTGGAAAACATGGAAAGTGTTGGAGGAGAGAAATGCAAGAAAAATAGCTCGGGCTTTATATCAATGCCTCCCTTCGGACTAGCCACTTACAAAATGCAGGGTGATCTGTGGCTGAACCCAAATTCATCATCTGATCATGAAAGGCTAGCCTATATGTACAGTGCTGCAGATTCATGGCTAAAGCAGCTCAATTTCCACCACCATGACTTCAACTTCTTCACATCCCACTCTTCTCTGTAAATTGCTCTCTTTCTGCATAACTACCTGACCACCTTTGTGTTTTGGCTTTCGGCTTCGGCAGTATTGGGATTTTCTCAAGTTGTAAGTTTGTGAAGTGTCTCTAAGATAAGAGAGATATAATAGAGTGACATGAGGGAATAGATGGGAAGAGAGGAAGTTGTCAGTCAGTTAAGTGGCTGAACCCTGCTTATTTTTGTCGTTCTTTTTCTCACTCTGGAGGCTTTTTAGAAGGTTCAATTTCATCTGACACCGGCATGTGAAATTCCCCTAGCAGCATATTCCGATGAGTGCCATTGAGAAACTTGGGAGGTTATATGTCTAAGGAGTGTATAACCCCTAGGTTCAAGCTACTAAAGATTTGCGGCTGGGGGTCTTCTAAACTGAGTTTGGTTTTTTGGGGTTGTTTTTGCGAGTTTCATTAATAGAGGGTAAGAGTTTAGACTTTGGATCGGAGTTCAAGATTTCTCATCTTTTTTGTACTTAATTTTCTTCAGACTTTTACTTGTTTGATTAATGTATGTAGGTTTCTGATTTCCTTTAGCTTTAATGGAGAGTAGAATCAGTTTTTTTTTTTTGGGCACATATGGAATTTGTGTTAGTTTAGTTTTATTGGAGGAAATGCAGGATAACTTGATATGATTTTCGAAAATCGGCTAGCATTAAAAAAATGCTTGATTTTCCGTCTTAGAAAAAAAAAATTTTACCTGACAAGGGCAGCACGATATTGAATAAATACCATCAACGAGCAGTGGGGCGAGGTGGTAAGTGGACTCGTCCTTTGTAGGATAAGAACACGTGTTTGAATCCTGGAGCGCGCGAATCCGGAAAGCGCTCTCGTTGGGAGAGGGGACAATTACTGCTGG